TGTCTTCAGTTTTTGGTGTTGAACTTGCATTGTGGCCTATCCCCAGGTATCCTCGAGGCTTTTAGCTTCACCTTGAAAGTCCCTCGTACTAGATAGTGGTCTGAACCCACATCTGCTCCTCTCCTCGACCTTGTGTCCAGTAGGCTCCGTCTCCACTTCCTTGAGATTGAAATGAAGTCTATCTGGTTTTTGGTGTGTCCATCTGGTGAAATCCATGTTGCCTTGTGTATATCCCTGTGTTTGAACACACTGCCACCAATCACCAAATCATTGAAGGCGCAGAAGTCTGAGAAGAGTTCACCATTTTCGTTCATTTCACCGAGGGCCTCATGACCCATGGTGAGTTCTCTTCCTGTATTGTCTCCTCCCAGCTTCGCATTCATATCACCCATCAGAATTTTGATATCGCTTTTTGGGACGTTGTCCATTACTGCTTGTAGTTAACTGTAGAAATCCTCCTTCTTCTCTTGTTCTGAGACGTTTGTAGGCGCGTAGCATTGAATGATTGTAACCTTCCTTCCTTTTGAGTTGAACCTGGCTGTCATTATCCTGGAGGAGATTGGTTCCCACTGCATGAGAGCTTTGGCTGCTGTTGGTGACATCATGATGGCTACTCCCTCGGTGTGCTCGTGATTGTCCTCTGGGTGACCGGAGTAGATTATTGTCTCTCCAGTTGGCAGTTGGCTCCTTCCACATCCGTTCCATCTACTCTCGCAGATTCCCAATACTTCTATTTTATATCTTCTCATTTCTGCGGCTACCTGGGCAGCCTTTCCAGTTTCGTACATTGTACGAATATTCCACGTCCTCGTGTATACATAGTAATAAATTATTTCATCACTTAGTAGATAACCTTACACATAAAGCAAAACCTTAATGATGATGTCAGTTATATGTCTGGATGGACGAAAATCCATGTCACAATAGCAAGCTGATGCAGTGTTGTTTGGGTTGGATTCTTTTTCATCTGAACAGACGTTTAAATATGTTGTTTGGTATTCTGTTTACGTTTCATAAGAAAACTGGTACTTATTCCTCTAAGGGTTAATTTCATTTATGGTAGTAAGAAACATAATCATGTGTGTTTAGGCCCATTATTCAGCACTTTATATAAGGCCGTAAATGCTCCTTTTATTTTAATTAGGTTTTCACTGTCCACCAAATAGATTAAGATGTCAATATTCATTGATCTAGTTGCTCATTTCCTTAGCCACAGGGTTATGTATTCAAAAGTAAGTGGGAGTAAATTCTTTTGAGTACGGGTCTATGTAATTGGCTCTACAGGAGCAGTTAAGCTGTTATATACACAATGATATGGTTTTCATTCGTAATCTATCCCTGATAAATTGTTTTAACTTAAGTTTAGTTGATATTTGTGTCATCATGTATATCACTCTTCGGCTGCTCCATTTGTTATGGCTTCATTTTATCCACTGTATCTTGCTGCTTTATTTTATCAGTCTGTCTTGATATATACTTATTTGTAAAACTGTTGGGATAACCTTTTCGAGAGAAAGTTATTTCCATTTTTTTAATTTCTTTATCGATACAACCATTGGAACATGCTAGTTTTATTATGTGACTGAGATAGTAAATTAAATTTCGTTGTATAGCATTGGACACACTACCCACTTTATTTATTTTTACTTGTTACAAAACAAACTTTGTACATTGTGGGCACCAAAAGATGCACCACACAAAATCTCTTAGTTTGTACGAGGGCTGAGAAACTGATTGGACGCTCAGACATGGTTGTCTTAAAGGGTGCCGCCCTTAGCCTTTGACTGGAAATCTGATCCACAAGACAGAGGGGCAGCATGGAGAGCTGCACTCTCAGGGTTTCCGATGTCCAAACTGGGTTCCTGCACCATTCGATCCGTTTGAATTCTGAAGCTCATGTACACTTTAAGTTTGAAATCAGCGTTTTCCAGGTCTCGTAGGTTAACCTGCATATCCACCGGTCCAGTTGTAAGTGCCAGACGTTCGGATTCACTTTTTTACTTCTGTGAGGAACACCCTTGACGTGTGAAGGCAGTGAATAAGACTTACGTGGTAGAGTTTATGAATGGGTGGTCACATGGAAGCATTTCTCGACCGTATCATGAAGTTTATGGGGTTACTTCACATAGTTTTCCTGAAAATATTCACTCAACAGACTCATTTGACTTTTCAGGAAGAAGATTCGTAATATGCTATCGTAATATTCTGCGCAAGTAGGACGAACACACTGATGGATATTCTTGAGAACTTGTAGTAGTCCCCGTTCATTAGGTTATTTATCTCAAAGGATAAACGTATCTTCTACATAACGACAATAATATTTAAATTTATTCACCGTATCTCTAAACAGATTATTCTTATATTCCTACTCAGAGACATCAGCTAATAAGTGCCCAATAGAGAAATCCATCACAATGCCTTACATTTACTGAAGGCAACTTATGAATTGACAAATAAAAAAGATAATTGTGAGAATTGTTACTAGAATGCACCATAAACGTTCTCTTTCTGTCAAATAGCAGATTTTATAAGTGAATGAACCGGATCATCCTCGGAAAACGCTAAGTTGGGATTGTGTAATGGTATGATCAGAAGTACAGCTTCACTTTGTCTGAAAAGTATTTTGTAGTATGTCACTAGTAAATGTATGAAGGTATATTCTTTAATATCAAAAAATAGAAGAGGAACTTTTTACGCACAAATATATCTCCAGTATGTCTCTGATTAAAATAAAGTATCATTACTAACTAACCTTGTATATATATATATATATATATATATATATATACGATTAGTAAAATTCTCATGAAATGAAACATTTGTTCCTAACATAAGACAGTGAGGGAAAAAACAGTATGACGTCAGCAGAAAATCCAGTCGTCACTATATTTCAAGGTACGTTTTTATATTACTATTGTTGTAATTCCTTTTGTATGAGTACATATCTCTAATTAGTGCAGGAGTTTATGAGAACATTACATAACAATTTCAAAGGAAGTAATGGCTGCCAAGTAACTTTTTGCATGTCATATAGAATGAACTTCAGTATTTATATATATGTATGTATGACTGTGTGTGTTGGTAAAATATTTCATTATTTATAGTAATGTTTCATTAGAATTATGTTGGTTTCAAAGTCCATATTGTTTCCGTCACTAATATCTCTTTTATAAAAAAGAAATGACAAAGGGAAATACAATGTGTTCCATGATAGTTTTAAACCGATAATCAAACTGACTGTATTACAGACAACATAGTGTCGTGTAGTTCGTATCATAACCATATTTTACACCCTTCATTCTAGAGCAACTTGACTGACTTGGTTTCCCTGGTCTTATCCTAGATTTTGATCGTCAACCGTTCTTGGTGAGCGAAACGTCGAGAGCGAAAGACTTAAGGAGGTTTGCTGTCTTTGACTACAGTTGTTTGCATTATGTTTCCTGTGTTAAGTGGCATATTTTTGTGAGTAATATTAAAGTTAGCTGTAGAGTGTTAGGTAAGAAAGGAAAATAATCGCTGATGTTGTGAAGCTGCACTGCTCTCTAGATGCGTAGGATACGTGTTACATGTGCCAAGCCATCGCCTTCCTTGTTGACCATTGTTCGCTGACATTAGATTAGGCTGGAAAACAGTTAGTGGTCAATTCAAAACCTGGAATCATTTAATGAAGTTACTAACTGTTGACTTAAATCGCGTAGGAGATACAGACTGCCTAGCTGGCGTCGTTGAGATGCTAAAAAGTGATGATTGTTGACTGTTGGTGACACTGATCAAAATCATTCTCAATGGCTCGTATTCAGTCACTGTACGAATTTCTAGATTCATCAAAAAATTACCATATTCACCATGTGCTTTTTCTTTTCCCCCATACATAACAGTTTCTTTTGGGGTTTTCCCTACCTTTTTGTGCCATTTGGAGTATGGCAACTTGAACTACTGCACTTTTATCTGAAGTTTCACTTTGAGAATTCAGTTTCAGTTAGTTAGTTCATTATAGAGTCATTTTTTGTGTGTTCATTTTCTGACGTGCCGCTTGTTAGTGTATTATCTTAGTCAGTTTCACATGTATGTGAAGTCCCACGTTAATGCATTTTTGTATTTGAGAACTGTAAGAAGTGTTCATTTTCTAGATGTACAGCAATACCTTAAAAATGCTAACTCTGTTTCAACAATTCAGTTGTATTAATGTGAAAATATTTTCTTTATGATGTCATTGATACGTAACAGAATCATTAATGAGTTATTGTAGGTAGTGATATATTAGTTATGTGTTACTAATGAGTGAAAAGTGTTGAATAAGTCTACAAATTCATCAGACGTTTGATTATTTACATATAATAGCACTCTGACTGGTTGCTCACATGCTGTTGACTGGATACCTTTCTTATATTCATAAAGGATTTAGTTATCAACTGGATTTCATCTATCTTTTGCCTGTTCATACATAATATTATTGTTTGATTTTCAGTATTAGTATTTCTCACAATTCATTTGTTCTCAGGCTATTAGGTGAGGAATCAAGTGACGCACAAACTGTAGCTTCTGTTAATTCGCGATGTAGTACCATTGTAACAGGAGAAGACAAGTGAATTGATGACGGAATTTAATACACACACACACATAGGGAATTATATATACCTTATTATTAAAATCGTCACTTGCACAGATCTTTCGTCATGTGTTATTTCTGCCCTTCGTATTGTGTTTGTTTGTCTACTTTTCGTGTCTCTCATGTTTTGCCACAATACTGGTTCATTTCCTCTCTATGACGTCAAATCTATCTCTCCGCTATTTGATATTTTTGTGCTAATGAACGTCTCTTTATATATACTACTGATAAATCTTGTCAGTAGCACACGTCACACTATAACTTCGTACTATTACTTTTTAAATCTTTATGCTTATTTCTTTTAGGTTGTCTAATGCAGTTATTAATGAAAGAATAAATACAAATAACTCTACAACGCAGTTTTCTTCCTTATAAACATTCCTTCCATATAATGGATAAACTTGGACTAGACTATTTAACCTGTCAATTAAATTTAGACATGGATTCTTCATCCAGTAACTATCAGGTATGTGAAACATTGATTAATAAACCTATTTTTGAAATAATAATCTACCCTAAATTAAGTGTTTTTATTTTCATCTCTAGTTAGACTGTCACTTGATGAGTATTATCAATGCTATAGAATTTTGACGAACTTTCATGTGGAGATTTGAATTGATCTCTGTGTTTGTTTGATGCATATTCTTAAGTCTGTGTTAAAAATTTATCCTACTGGGTGAATTTATCAGGATCTAACGTTTATGTGGCATAATACAATGCGACTGTCCCAACGGATTGATCTCTGACAGAATCTCAGCACGAATACAGAAAGCTAGTTTCGCATATGCCAGTTTACGCCGCCTCTGGCGTAGACGTGATATCCGTCTATCGACCAAAGGGCCTGTGTACTGTTCATCAGTCCGCTCCGTCCTCCTTTATGGCTGTGAGACCTGGCCATTGAGAGTGGAAGACATGAAAAGATTAGCTATCTTCGATCATAGGTGTCTGCGTTCTATCTCCCGTGTGAAGTGGTATAATAAGGTGAGCAATATTGAGGTTAGGCTCGGTCGAGTGCTAGGTAAGGAGGAGAAATCAATCGACGAAACTGTGAAATTACATCGAGTGAGATGGTTAGGACATGTGCTACGTATGCCTAGTCATCGCCTTCCTCGACTATGGGCAATGTTAGCTGACATAGGGTCAGGCTGGAAAGGAGTTAGTGCTGGTCAAACCAAAACATGGCATCAATAAATGAAATCCACAACAGTTAGTTTAAGCCAGTCACGTAGGAAGGTGTAGACTTCCTGACTGGTTGGGGTCCTCGGGACGGTAAAAACCAATGGTTGGAAACAATTGGTGACATGGCTCAAAATCGTTCTCAGTGGCGCAGATGCATCCACTCCTTGTGATTCATGATTTTCAATGAAACTGTTTTGTTCTTCGTTATTACTATAACCTTTGTCTCACACCTCTGTTTACTGTCTATACTATGCATTTCTCCTCCTTTCTTCTCTTGCTTTGTGTGCCACATGGAGTGTGGCGACTTGAACTGCCGCACAAATGTTCAAAGTTCTATGTCGAAAACAGATAGACAGACAGACTGTCCTTTAGTATTCTAAAAAATTCAGTTTGGAATCACAGTTTGAATACAAAGCTATGAACCGACAGTTCAGACATATAATGAATTTTAAAACCACTATCCAAGATTTGAACAGCTTAGTGCTGTGTCTGTATCTTGTGTACATAAAGCGCGATTAATATTGGTATAATACATAGTCACTTATTGGGTGAGACCTTAAGGCTTCTTCTCTTTGCTAGTCAACAAACTGGCAAGGCTTTCACTAAATAAAACATGATTCATAGGTGATCAAGTATTCAGTATTCACTGTATAAAAAGTGGAATCACATCCCTAAATCCTTTTATCTGACAGTGTTAAAAAGGAATGGAACGCGTTAGTAAACTTTGTGTGAGGGAATGACTATGCAGTATTGCTAAGAAACTTGTGTCTACTGAATGGCAGTAATGTGCGTGCACCCTACTGCTGTGGTATGATGGAGGAAAAGTGGACTTGTCTTTTTGTAGAAATGCTTCTTTGTGACTAAATGTTCACTGTCAACACACAACTAGGAGTGTTGCGCAAAGTGATTATGAATGCGAATTTCCGACCTTATCATCAGATTGTAATCGAGTCCCACAATCCGAAAGGAAACAGTTGCATATAAGTTTGGTTTGTTCATCAACACATGTAGAGATGCAGCTTGTGATATTGTAATGTTGCCTTGTGAACTCTTGTATTCAGTGACTTGATGAACAAAATGCCTTTAGAAGATTGTTATGAGCCTATGTCTGCATTCGTCTTCAAAGGTGAATGTTTAAAAGTAGTCAAAACTTGCTAGAGAATACTTGAAAAATGAAATGTATCATTGTCTATCGAAAAGCAGAGTGCTGCACACTAAAGCCAGTCACATGTGTTGCATTTGGGATGTTATTTGAGTCTGAAAATTATGTTTTATACCTGTAAAACTTTGTCTCACCAAATGTGGGATATCCTTTGAACCGGTGTTCGGTCATCTTTGCTTCCATAAAGCTGCTTGATACCAGCGATAATACCATGTAGAAAATTGTGAATTCCGGTCAGCTGTGTTTAACTGATGTGGAAATAGTTTTTAAGAAAATAATGTCATCTTCCTACAGTAGTCTAGATGGATTGGAAATGTGTTTACAACATCAGCTTTAAAGGCTTGATGCCCTTTACGGTTCGCTAATTATAAGGCTGTAGGGGATGGAGAGATGGATTAGCCTATCATGTGAAGTCATTGAAAAAGGAAAGTATTGTCATTTTAGCGGTAGTCAGTTCATCGTGATTGTGATAAGACCGTGTGACATAGTAGTTCCAGATGTCATCAGACTTGATTCAGAAGTGAAATTAGTGGCAATAGTACTGTCCGTCGTATTTTACACTAAACAACGAACGCTATTTTGGATTTAACTGGTGAGAATGTTTACCTGGTCAATTTTTAAAATACTTTCTAAACATTTCTAGTCTTTTATCTACATGGCTTTTGTATTATTTTTCGTGAGGCGTATTACTTGGTGTTCATGCTACATACCATTTCTGTTTTAATGAAAGAGAACTTACATTCATGCACATAATTAACAGAAACGATTAGAATTTCATAACTTTGACTATAGTGTATAGGAGCTGCTTGATAAAACTGAAAAGTTTGCAAACTATTAGATAGTTGGAAGCAATCGGCAAGAAACCCTGCCGTGCTTGTTGGCACTCACGAACCTGGGTCACCCGGTGTTGCAGTCAGAGACGTTACCATTGAGCTATTCAGGCCTGTGATCAACCCTCTGTAGGAGGACTGCAATGAATACTTTGATTTTATACTGTACATTAACCAGTGACATGCATCTAGTCCTTTGCTTGGTGCAGACTGAATTCTATCGGTCAAGTTTGCAATGTGGCCATCATGCTTAGTGGCTCGCTAACATGGTGTACTCTGGATTGTAAGCTAATTGTAGAGAAGTATTCTAATAAAATAGAAAAATGGTTACTGACCGAAAGCCATCGTTTCATCTGTGTAATATTCAGTCATTTTTACTGAACGTAAATAGTGAACGTCAAAACAAGTTCTTTCGAATAACATTTTTAAAACGCTATATTTTTAAGCTGTATGCTCAACAGAGCTATTTTCTGGTGACTACATTTTAAATATCTGTGACGTTTATTCCAGTATGGAATAATGAACTTAATACATCCATGTTTTAGACAGTGACCTGACCACATTTTTGTTTATTTAGCTGTGTGTAGAAAATAGCATGTGATACTTAAACAAAGCTTGGAATGGCAGTCACATCTCTATCTCAACTTCATCGAATTTGAAAAGGCCTTCGACAGCGTTCATCGAGAGGTGATTTGGCAATTACTTCGCTACTACGGGGTGCCGCCGACAATTATACATCTCATCCAACAGTTGTACGACAGTGCTGCATGCCAAGTAATCCACAACGGGAAACTTACGGAATCTTCGAAGTGAAGACGGGAGTAAGACAAGGCTGCCTACTATCGCCAATGATTTTCCTGATTGCAGTAGATTGGATAATGCGACAAACAGCAGGCAATGAGGAAACAGGTATAAAAATGGACTCACACAAAAAACTTGGAGGATCTGGACTTCGCCGATGATATATGTCTGATTTCCCACAAACTGGAAGAAATGCAAACGAAAAGCAACAAGTTAGCAGAAGAAGCATCAAAGATAGGACTTCAGGTGAACATAGATAAAACAGAGGTGATGAAGATTCCTGGCCAACAGCAACAACAACAACAGACAACAATCAGCATAAATGGAAGGAACCTGAAAGAAACAACCTCCTTTACCTACCTGGGAAGCATCGTTTTAACTACAGGCCAGCGGAACTGACGAGGATATCAAAGCAAGGATCGGGAAAGCAAGAAAAGCTTTCACTACTCTCAAGTCTGTGTGGAGGTCAACAGCACTCAGCATCAAAAATAAGATCCGGATTTTCAGCTCCAATGTGAAGTCAGTGCTACTATACGGATCAGAGACTTGCACTGCGCGTCATAAAGAGCATCTCGAACAAACTACAGACCTTCATTAACAGCTGTCTTCGCTCAATACTGAAGATCAGATGGCCAGAAAAGATCAGCAACAGAGATCTCTGGCAATGAGCTAACCAACCCACCAGGAACCGATTGTGAAACAAATAGGCAGGAAGAAATGGAGATGGATTGGCCATACTCTGAGGAAACCAGCAAGTGACATCACTAGACAAGCCATTGCTCGAGTGGAACCCGAAAGGGAAGCGGCGAGTTGGTCGTCAGTTCGAGGGTGACTTGGAGGAGGTCATATGAAGAGGAGATGAAAACGTGTGGACTGATTTGGAGCCAGGTGAAGACTCTAGCAGAGAACCGAACGCAATGGAGACGCGCGGTTGAAGCCCTATGTTCCTCTAGGAATTAAAGGAAATAATAATAATAATACTTGAAGTCTTCAGATTTGTTTAGATTTGCGTAGTAATCTGAGATTTAGTTATTCGTAATCTGTAATGACCATTTGTAATCTTTTTGGTTGAAATAACTTAGGATCTATCGCTTTTCTTTTTTGATTTTCTACTACACGTACAAATATTCTCTTAGGAAGATATAAATGCCTAATAAATGCAGAGTTTAGTTATCAATTTAAGAACCTGATTCGTTTAAATCCTCCCATAGTATAAAATTATTGATTATTAAATCACAAAATTACTTCATCATGCGCGCCAAGAGATTGCACAAAACACAAAATCCTGAAGTTTTTGCATGGGCTGAGATATTGATCGGACGCTCAGATTAAATCACGTGGCTGTTTTAAGAGACCAGCTCCCAAGTCTTTGACTTAAAGTCTGATCCACAAGATAGAGGAGCAGTGTGGGGGCTACACTCTCATGGTTTTCGATGGCCAAAGCAGGTTCATACACCATTCGATCCGTTTGGATTCTTCAGCCCATGTTCACCA